CTACTGAGGCTGTTTTCACACGTTGCGTGATTATTTTGTGGCTTCTTTTGAAAGTAGATGAAGACATTGTTGCGTGTGTGTGTGTGTATGTGTGTATATACGCTTGCATGGGAATGAACAACAGTGTGCGAGAGTGTGCGGACATGTGCAGCGTGCAGAACACTCTCAGTCGGCCACTTTATTAGAAACTCCGCTCCACATAGCTGGTGTACACTTAGAGACTGTAGCCCATCTGTTGAGCCATCTTCTAGCCCAGTGGTCCACACAATATTTTCCCAGTGAGCAAATAACAACCTCCTCTTCGCCTGGCGGACAACTTCATCTTTATCTTTAATAGCCTATAACCTAGTACCGTTATCTAGCATGGCACTGAATGTCTGTAGTGGACTACTTCAAACATTTCCCAGCCAGTTTCACACATAACCATTGAACATACTGTTGTTATGAGCCTGCGTCGCTAATATTAACAATTAGACACTTGAACTATCAGTTAATGAATCTGTATCTAACTAAGCAACTGTTTTCTACACAAGATGGTTCTTCAAGGGTCCTCTAGTAAAATAAAATAAATAGATAAATTATTAATACATACATTTTGCAAAGGAACTGATACTTTTATGTTGTGGGCACAGCTGCTCTAGTCCTTCATTAGTGGTCAGTTTCTGACCACAGAGCCTCTTTAGGTCTGACAAAAACCTCAGAAATGCTAATTTTATACATGCTTTAAAAAGATGCTCCTTCAAAGGTTCTTGAGTAAAGGTATCTTGCTATTTAGAACCATGAGTTATTTACAGAACGATTCTGTGCTTAAATGGTTCTTTGGATGGTGAAATGGTTCTTCAGATCTATGGAGAATGTGTTGTATATGGTTCTATACAGAACCTTTTTTATTTTTTTTAATAGCACCACAAAGGGTAAAGCGTTCTTTCATTGCATCGTAAAAATGGCAGCAAGATGTCATGCTTCCGAGTGTCCGCCCTGCTGCCGTCAACCATGCACTACAGTTCCCGTGTTTCTCTGGACACTCACACCATGGACTCGGCCAATCACAGACAGCTTCCCAGATCCATGTCCCCTGACTATTCATGCTCACTGTGAAATATTGTCAACCTAACCCGTACTGAACCGTGTTCCTTTTCCTGTTTGTCCTATCTGTGTTTATGACCTTTTCCTCGGTTACATTCCCGTTTCTGGATTCCCTTTCGGCTATTTCAGACTGTTTGCTGTATTGGCTTTGACTCATGCATGTTTTTGATATACTCTCTTTGACTAGTGCCCATGCATGTATTGTTGCTCTTCAGTTTGTCATTAAAATTGTTTACTTCACTTTGTTTGGTAACATTTTATTTGCAGTGGTGCTTTGTAGGTGATAATTAAACTCTTAACAGATTATCAGTAACATATCAACAACATATCAGTGAAGTAGCAGTACTGAAGCACCTGAATACGCTGAAGTAAATATTTTGCAGATATTCTGTTGATATGTCAGTTACATTAAGTAGATGTTTTATTAATAAGTTACTTCCATTACGCAAAAACTAACCTTATCCAAAACCTAACCTTCACCCTGGCCCTAATCCTAACCCTAACCTTAAGCTCAACCAGTGGTGGACAGTAACGAAGTAAATGTAAATGTAGTTTTTTCGTGTATCTGTACTTTACTGAAGTATTTCCATTTTTGGTGACTTTACCTTCACTCCACTACATTTCAGAGTCAAATATCACTTTTTACTCCTCTACATTATGCAAAATCTGTCGTTCCTTTTGGTTTATGTGTGTATAAAAACTTAATGTCAAAATCAAAGAAGCGTGAAGCAGCACGACCAATCAGGGCCCAGCGCGCACTTTGTTTTGAGCTTGTTTTGACCTGTTGGATGTAGCTACCCAGTGCAAGCATACGGTTCAACGTCTGTGCAACAGCATAAAAGTTTGGGAGAGTCTATTCAACATAAATGATGGAAGAAACTCCTGACTCTAACCCAAACTTTGTGTAAATAGACCACAATATAGAAATATGTACTCATATGCAGTTGTGACTGACGTGTTTCTTTTTTCTGAATTTATACAAACATTATTTCACTTTATAGTAAATGTGTTTTGGCTAGTTTATGTTTATGAACAGAGACCTACAGATGCAGTTTAGTAAAGGAAACTCATTTGTGAATCTGAGTTTAAAGGAAGTTTTTATTAAATTTAAACTTGTTTAAATTTAAACTAACTTTTATTCAAACTAAGTTGCAAATAAATCTTAAACCGAAACTTTGCTTGTTCACAAAAGGTTATTTCGTAGTCATTTGGTTCTACCTAATGAAAATTGTTTGCCTTCAGTGTTTTGTGCTTTCGATAATATTAATAGACATCAGTGACGGACTAATTAATGACATTTTATTGAAATATTGGTGTTGCTAGAGTGACACTAGAGTATTTTCACCTAAAATGAGTTTATAAAGCGAGTCGTGTTACAAAAATGGTAATAGGACATTAAAGTCATAATTAATCTTTTAGTACTTTTACTTTTGATACTTAAGTACATTTGAAGGCAAATACTTTTGTACTTTTACTCAAGTGGAGGTCTAAAGGGAGGAACTTCTACTTTTACTGCAGTAATATTTTACTTTGGGTGTCTCTACTTTAACTCAAGTACATGGTTTGTGTACTTCGTCCACCACTGACCTCAACCCAAAAACCTAATCCTAACCCTCATATGTTTTTGACATGTTACTGAGTCTTTTGACATGTTACTGAGTGTTTGTTTCATCTAAAAAAGACCACTCAAAATAAAGCGTCACCTCTTGTTTCTCTGAAGGACGTTTCCCTCTCATTCTTTTGGTAAAGTACACATATTTTGTGCTTATACCGCAATAAACAACAGGAGCCTGTGAACAGATTAGAGGAGGAGGACACTGTGCTGAAGGAGGAAAACAGCTCAGGGGAGAAAGAAATCAAATAAAGAGACAGCAGCTTTATGGTAGCTTTATGATTTCCGCACGAATGATGATGTCATTTGTTGTAGTGGGCAGTAAAGCAGCTCAGGGCGTTTGTGCAGTACGCAGTGGCCAACAGAACACGGTGAATCAATACAGAGAGTGGGTATAAAGGTGTGTGTGTGTGTGTGTGTGTGTGTGTGTGTGTGTGTGTGTATTTGCATTTGTGTAACTGCGTTTGATGTGTTTAAGTGTGTGTATGTGTGTGTGCGTGTGTGTGTGTACAGAGTGTTAAATCGCGTTGTCAGAGCTGATGTAAGGGGAGAGATCAGAGAGGCTTTAGTGATCAGAAACTGATCACGGGTCAGTGCCCTTCATTCAATACACTGATTACAACACACAAATCCAATCATGGTGGTCATAAGTGGAGCTACTGGTTTGATAACAGGTATCAGTAACGAGCCGTTATAAGCAGAAAGAATGCATGTGAACCAAATCTACAAATCTATGCTGAAACAGAACTCACTCACACTGTGTGGTCCTTTCTGTGAGGTTAATACAGTGAGTGAGTAGTGTCAGCATTAAAGGCTGCTTTTATATCATCATCTTAAGTGATGTGCTTCAATTAAAATTGCCCATTTCAAAGCTTAGGCCAATACTCAAGGTTTCAACATGGTTATCATTATCATCTGACACTAACGCCTTTAATATCGATCGCTATCTATATCGGCCAATATCGGTGTCAGTGAGGTGTCAATATCGCTACCAGTAATGTTTCAGTATCAATACTGCAAGTCAGTGCTCAAGGTTTCAATATACACTCACTGAGCACTTTATTGGGAACACCCACTTTGTCTACCTTGTGTCCACACTCATTGTTCTTCAAGACCAAAACAGTTCGTCAGGACCCCCACAGAGCAGGTATTATTTGGGTTATGGGTCAATCTCAGCACAGTAGTAGTGTGCAAGTGTATGTTGTGCTGGTACGAGTGGATCAGGCACAGCAGTGCTGCTGAAGTTTTTAAACACTGACAATAGTCCACCAACCAAAAATATCTAGCAAACAGCTCCCTGTGACCACTGATGAAGGACTAGAGGATCATCAGGACAAACTGTGCAGCAACAGATGAGCTATCGTCTGACTTTACATCTACAAGGAGGACCAACAAGGTAGGACTGTCTAATAGAGTGGACAGTGAGTGGACACAGAGTTTAAAACTCCAGCAGCACTGCTGTGTCTGATCCACTTGCACCAGCACAACACACACTAACACGCCACCACCACATCAGTGAGAATGACCCACCACCCTAATAATACCTGCTCTGTGGGGGTCCTGACCATTGAAGAACAGAGTAACAAAGTATCAGAGAAACAGATGGACTACAGTCTGTAACTGTAGAACTACAGAGTGCTCCTATATGGTCAGTGGAGCTGATAAAATGGACAGTGAGTGCAGAAAAAAGGAGGTGTCTTTCATAAAGTGCTTAATGAGTGCAGATATCAGCCAAAGCACACAGTTTCAATATTGGTGTAATTATTGGCTAAAGCTCAAGATTTTGATATCAGTAGGTATCGGTAAAAGTCTCAGCCAAAGTTCAAGGTTTTAATTTCAGTATTAGCCTTGGCTGATTCTAAAGATCTCAATATTGATCACTATTATTCTCGATCAATGCTCAAAGTTACAATATGGGATCTGTAGGCTACTGGTATTGGCTGAAGCTCAAGGTTTCAATATTGTTACCGTTATCGTAATCTATGTTTGATATCAGCCTGGTAATCTATGTTTTGATACAGATCACTATTGGTATCGGCCAAAGCTTAAGCTTTTAATATTGGAATCGGTATCGGCTCAAGCATAGATTGTCAATATCAGATCAGTATCGGTCAAAACTTTCAATATAGATATTGATATCAATAAAAAATGACACTATGTCGTCTGTAGTTGTACACATTGCTACAATATGATGGTGTATGTAATGCAGAATTTATACTCTGAAGCAGAATTTATACCCCCCCCCAACCCACACACACACACCCGCACACACACCCACTCTCTCTGTAGTTCGTGTGTGTACCTGGTCCAGTAGCTGGTTGTAGAGCTCATGGCAGTTGTCGAAGATGTATTTGTAAGTGGAGTCGAGGCAGGCTCTGACGCAGTCCTTCACCACCAGACTCGCTCTGGGGGGGCTCTGCAGCTCCTGCACCTGAGAAACACACACAGACCCATAATCACACTCATGCTGTTGCAGAGACATCAACAATCAGGTCCAATACTGTCACTTCTTATCACTTGTCACTGGCTTATCAAAACCTTTTCACTCTTTTGTTGTTGTTTTTTACAGCATTTGAAAAAAAGCAGCTGCTCCTTCCACTGTGTGAATATTTCATGAAGAACAGACCAAAAAATTTACAAAAAGAAAATTTGAGTCTGTCAAGTTTATTTAAGTAAATGTTTTTCATTCTCCTATGAGGAGATAGAAGGTGTACTTGTGATCGCGACACACTGCAACAAGGGATCATGGTAGAAATGAACGTTTCAATTCCATAATACTTTATGATATCGTAAAAAATATATTTTTCTTTCTTTAATAATAGTGAACAATGGAGTGGAGCTCACTCCCAACAACGTGCTTCACTTAATAGGAAAAATGTATAAAAATGGCATTTAATGCATTATGGAACCAAATCCTACAAATTTAAAAAATAGATTTTTGGGTGTGAGTCCCCTTTGAAATCCTTAGAACAATGTCTCTCTGCATTTATGACCTTTAAATATGTCAACTTTGCAATTTTGCATTTTTCTGTAAGAAACTTCTGTATTACATACGTATATATATATATATAATCTATTCCACAAACTACTAAAAATCTAATTTACCTGATTTCCCTGTCTATTTTATGCATATATTACACAAACACACTGTCCATTTTTATACAACAGCTACTTTAGCCTTGAAGCTCCAGTGTGAAACTAAAGAACTTCAGACAAACAAGTATATTTGTGGACAGTGGGGTGATTTGAATGCACATCTTTTGCCGATCTATCAGTTGAACTTAAACTTCATGTAAGTGAAACTGGTCCAAAGCTACAGAGTGTTCCCTAAAATCCTCCTCAGAGAACAGTGGTGCACGTTCTAGTGTCTAATTGAGCCGAGGAACAGGCTGAGTGTGAACACTGTGTTTCCTCTTGCATAACGGCAAATAAAGGACGCTGTACTTCCCCAAGTGTGTGTGGCTCTCAAGAGCAGCCACTGTAGGATGCTGGAGTCGCATTACCCATAATGCACTGTGACAGTCTGAGTTTTTATTGTGTGCCTTGCGGGGCTTTCTCTGTGGGCGGGGCCTTTCAGCCACGGCTCACTGATTCTCTCTCACACACACACGGTGTGACGTCACTTATTAAAGAGCACTTGGTGAATTAACAGGCTGGAGTTTGTAGAGAACGAAGATAACAAGAAGTGATTAAAGAAGAGCGTTTGGGTGTATTAGAGGTCTGCATGGGTATGAAGCTGAAGCCCAAACTCGAACAGCACTTGTGACTTTAAGACCCGGCCCAACTGCTACTGCTAAAATTAAAAAGAATGCCTTTAAAGAATGTCAATCTCTGAGGCCCCCCAGCCAGCCCACAATTTGCTCTCTTCCAGCTTTTTAATCCTCCTGAGGCCTCTGGGCAGGTAGATTCAGTGTGCTGGACCTCTATCACCTGCCTCAGGTGTGGAGAGAGCCATTATAGATCCAATATCAGCCCAAAATCAATCTGATTTAAGCAGGACTGCAGGACTGGAAATCACCATGTGACACACACAGGAATAGACTGGCCAGAGGGAGCACTGTGAAAACTCCCAGTTCACTCCCAGTGGTCTGTTAGCTGTGCTGCCAGTCCACAAACAGCGAGAGTGAGAGAGAGGGAGGCAGGGAGGGAGGTGAGGGAGCTGTGGCATGAGTGGCTCACAGACACAGATACTGCATCCACTGCACATCGGCTGCACCCACTGAACACTCTACTCATATTCATTTAACCGGACAGTTTCTCCCATTTTGTGAAATGATCATGTTGTTGATGTGACTAGGCTAGTAAGCCTAGCTGAGGTACCATATTTATTAAAAATTTCATATTGTGGTGGACTTTACCTTAATTAGCAAGGTGATGTTAGCTACACGACTGTTCTTTAGACTGCATTAAGTGTAAATAAGCCTGCTTACAAGCTAACTAGACGAAAGAACCTTTAGAAGTCAAGAGTTATCACGTTCATTTTAAGACTTGTAAGGTTTAATTAAAGTGAACGGTGAGTGTGGACTCAAAGTGCGAACAAGAAAGGCTGCCTTTCAGCTGATTGTGGTGAGCTGGTCCAGTAAATCTCTGCACACGCACTTAAAGTGTCTCCCTCTCCTGTACTGGACTCAAAGACTGCAGCCCCAAGGCCATCAGCTGGGTCAATGTGCAGCCCCACACGTCACTTTCATTACCTCAGAGAACCACAAACCACTCGCTGTGTTTGTCAGCGAGTGAAAGAACAGCAAGAGATGTAGGACAAATAATAAGAGTGAAAAATGATCTACATTTATTCTCTTTCTCTCATGTTCCTGGTGACACTCTTACCATGCTCATGGCCTTAAGTTTAGTACAGAACAGAGTCTGAATCAGGACTGGCTTTACTGGCCAAGTAAGGTTTGTAGGAGATTTGTGAAATTGAAACAGGTAAGCTAATAAAATAGAGTAGAAAAAAGTGGGTTGTATGTTCCTGTTTAAACCTTATTTATCACTTACAGGTGATCTGATCTGATAGATATTTATGTTTCACCCACTATGAGAAAACACAGAAATGTGGACCGATAAAAGGTGGCTGCTGCTTCTTCGTTATGCTATTGGGAAGCAGTTCAGGTTTGCCGTTCGTGACATGCTGCAATTTAAAACTGGGAGAAAATTAAAGCTGCAGCACATCACAAGCAGCAATAAAGACACTCAGGAAATAAAATGTTAGCAGCCATGTCATTAGCCAGCAAAACAAACAAAAGTTTTTATTTTAGGATAGCTGAGAATATGTGACACCTTTTGGACTATGCTATCATTGCATGTGATAACTTGACAGGTTTCGGGCAACCAATTTGTCTAATTTAATCACTCTTGGACACCAAAATCTCCCAGCAGAAACTCTGGTATATGTATATAAGGAGAAGCTAAATTTCCACAATAGTGTAGCCAATAAACCCAACATACACTGAATGAAAATGTGGTAGAGGTAGATTGATAACAGAGTTTTGATTCTACCATGAACTAGAACTAAGTTTTAAAGCATGAGGGAGATGACCTGAAAACAAAGTAGGCTGTTGGCGCTTTGCAAAGCCACTGGCATTTCAACAGTAATTACACACACTGCTTTGATTTCCTTGGTATTAAACCAAGTATATGTGCATTCTAGGCATGGACAGTGGTTATATAATGTTGGGGGGGAGTGACAGCAAATGTACATGAAGCACAGTCAGGAAGAACTCTTTAATGAGAACGCGAGTGTATTCCTCCTCTAACAGAGACTGCCTTTTAAGGGCAAATTTAAAAATGCACTGTACATGACCTGTACATAATAGAAGATATATTTCTGTGATATTACAAGCACGACTGACAATTTTTTTGATGCAAGCAAATGAGACATCAGCCTCCCTTAACTAATACAGACACATTCAATACACGTGCACGCATGCACGGCCGTACATCTCTACCCAATGACGCGTAGCATGTTTGAAACGAGACGCTATTCGCTCTGTCCTGCTTTCTCTGTGTGCAGCGAAGCACAACACATCTAAACACACAACTAACGGCTGCTTCTGCATCGATCCAAGCTTCCGGATCCAGGATCTCATTTGCACCCTCACAGGAGATCTGTATCACAGCCAGTGTGTGGGAACAGTCCGGACATACACCGCGTGACAAAAAAAGTTCCAATATTACAGCCCAAATAAAGGACTGCCACAAATAAAGGCCATAAATAAAGGCAGGGGTGTCCAATCTTGTCAACAAAAGGCCTGTGTGGCCGCAGCTTTTCATTCCAAACAATCAGGAGCACACCTGATTCCACTTAATCAGGTTAATCAGTTGGTCTTCGTCTTCAAATATTTGATTATGTGCGCGCAAACACACTGGATCCTTGTGGATAAGCCTGGCTCCCCCTATCAGAGCCAATATAATGGAAAACTGAATAATCTTAGTCTATTTGTTTGGTGTTTTGGCAACTCATTTCAAATTCTTTGCCAAAAATAAAACATATTGTCACAATTTAGACAAAACTTTCTATCTCCATTTGTCTTTTTAAATGTTTTTGCATAATCTGAAAACTCAAACTACACTTTATACCATGTGTAACTATTTCATGACGAATGGACCAATTATTTCGGAAGCTCCATTGACATCAGTTATCAGTTAAGGATGTCTTTTCCTTCATGCTGTAAAGCAGGTCAAGTCAGGCCCGTGACACAATCCTGTTCGGCCCGCAAAAATGTTTTAATTTTCTATTAAAAATATATTATCCTGGTTCATCATGAGCTGCACCACAATTCCCAGCATGCACTGCAACATAATGTGCACTCTGAGCCCCTTCTATGGGCCAGCAGTTACACAAAAATTAAAGATGCCTGGTGTCTAGTTCGTGTTTTTTTAAAAAAAAACTACCTCGTGGGGACATTACAGGAGTTTAACAGTTACCTGTAGATAATGCAGCCTATTGTTTTATATAAAACTATATGTTTTTATTTAAAATGATCTTGAATAGTTCAAGTATTCAGTGCCTATTTTGCTGTTGCAGTTTTTGTATATTTTTCAATAAAGAACAGCCAGTTCTGGTCATAGCAAAATGATAAGTAAAAATAAAATAAAAACACAGCTGAGCCACGGATTTGCTGAGATTTTTAATATGGCCCTTTTAGTGGTTAACTTTAACAACCCTGCTGTAAAGGGATTGTTCTGAAGATACAAGGTTTTGTTTCAGCAGTGATGGCAGCCCTTAGTACCCTCAGTAGCAACTTTTAAACAGCAAGTTCCACTGATGGCTCTCTTGACAAAGCCTGCTATTTTCAACTATGAATAAATCATCAAGCAGTAACAATTAGAAACTGCATTCACCTTCTTTTCATGTTCACCCTGAGTTCACATGAATTTCATGCTCAGTTCATGATGAAAATAATGTTGTTAAATTATTAGAAGTATTAATTTTTTTCTGATGAAGCTTATTTTGTGCAAAATGAAAAAGAAAAAAACTTTCGGTAACACTTCCTTCAAATCCTGTATTCACTATGCTTTATAAATGAACTTACAAGGTGTTATATGACATGCATACTACCTTATAATGCCTGGCATACACTAGAATAGAGTACATCGCTTTATATGTCAGGCTTCAGAGCACATTATAATCCATAATCCAAGAATCAAGCATTCATAAGAACACTGTCAACATTAATGCTTGCTATAAAACACACTATAACAAGGTATATATTCTGCATCATTTATTAGTAAAATCACTTCTGCCCCCAACAGCCATGGGAGACATGGATCCTGACCTTATAAAGTCACACACTCTTGCTTTAAAAAGTCTTTTGTATGCAATTGTAACTACTTATGAGCAACTATACAAGCTTATGCCCAGCATTATAAGGTGTTCTGTATATCATATAACTCTGCATAAATGTAATTATATGTGTTATGAGTACAAGATTTATAGGAAGTGTTACCAAACTTTCGTTTTGGTCAAATTTGAGAATCAATTGTGATTAACTAAACAAAAGAACGTAAATAATCAAGAAAAATTATTTTTATTGTTTGACAGCCTTTATAAACAATGTACTACACCTCATCTGCAACGGCTGACCACAGCACTCATTTACATAACTCACGGTAAGTCATACTGTGCCCTTAACCACATCAAAAAGTCTGCTCCTTAATGAAGACATGGATGTGATTTGAGTAGGTTGAGAGTTCAGTTTTGAGGATGTATTTTTACAGAAAAGATTTGGGTGACTACTGACAACGTGAGCCTTGTAGCTCCAGTTTTAAAGTATTTTTACATCTCCTATATAAGTATAGTTACTTTTATTTTTGCGCAAACGCATTTAACAATGGCAATATGTAGCAATATATTCACAGTGCTGGTATTTTACCCATATTATCCAGCCACAGTATGTATTCATAGTCTATATGTACTGTATAAGTTCTTAGGCTGAAGCTGAGTTGGAGGTTCTGTACACGCTGCTCTTTTCTCTCTGCGCTGTGCGAGTGTGAGGCAGAATACTGATGTCAGTCACTGATGAGAGGAGATAAATTCACTAAGTCTGGGGATCACTGAGAATACCTAATTAAAGAAGGTGTCAGGAAAGACTGAGTGTGTGTATAATTGTGTGTACCTTCATCCTGAAGAAGGTGATGCTGGTCAGAAGGTCCACCGTGGATTTCAGGTCCTGGAGTCTCTCCGGGTTTCCGGCAGGGAAATTGTCCTGTAATTATAGACAAACAACAGATGAGGACAGATGAGGACAGTGTGATCTCTCTCTCTCTCTCTCTCTCTCTCTCTCTCTCTCTTGTCTGCCCTCTACTCATTTCCAAGTTCAATCACAGATGCAGAAACTGCACTGCCAAAATTGATCTGGATGAGAGAAAAATGAAATGATTAGACTCAAAACGTGAGCAGGAGAACTGGCATTTCTACTGTTTTTTTCATCCACAGACACTCTGAGTTGGTTATAAAGTGAGCTGCTGGTGGGTTTGAGGCAGATGTAAGTCCCAAATCCCAATATCTGAGTGGTCTGTACTGAGTAACAATGTTAAAAAGCATAACATGCATGAATACTGTATTGTAAACCTTTAACTCCAGTAATATATAAAAGTTGAGTTAAGAGAAACAAAGTTAGGCCTAGGTCGAGGTTAGGACAATTGAATCAAGGTTTGGACAATTGAGTCAAGGCAATCGTTTTCCACCAACCACTTGATGTAACTCAATTATTGGGTTTTATAGTGGAGTCTGGTCTAAGCATGGCTTTGTGGCAACAGGCAGGAACTGTAGCAGTTTACCCAATATAAAAACCCTCATTATTTATTCATCTGTCTTATGATTTACTTTTATCTAAACTTAATATAGGCCTAATATACAAATATAGGTAAGAACACTATAGACACAGACCACAGAACCAAAACTGATTCACATCAAATTTTTTTTTTTTATTTATTTTATTTTTCCCATCATCCATATGGAGATAGTGTTACATGATCACGTAATAGAATGACAGGCACTGGGGAAAGAAAAAGAACAAGCTATATGTTGATCTCATATAAACGTTACATCTCCGCTGGTTTGGATGACTAGCAGCTAGCATTCCACAACTGTTTGCTAATAACACTTTGTAGTTGGTGCTAGCTAGTGAGTTCAGTACTGATAAGTGGAAGCCAATTAGATGCCAAGTAAGTAGGTGATAAGCAACTCCCACTTGTAAGTACAGCAGTATCATTTCTATGAGAAGGTTTGGTGATTTTAAAATGATTGTTTTTGTGTATTGGTTGATGATATTAAAACTATATAAATATTACATAAAGTTTTGTCCAAAATTATGCAGTTTTCAAAGTGTTCTTACTGATTTGTTAAATATTTACCATACCAAGGTGAAAAGGCTAATGTAAATAAAAATCTGGCAGACATCTTGTTTTGAGACCCCACATCTATTATAAATCAAGTCCATTCATAAAACATTGTCCATCATTTCTGATACTATTGGTGATCAAGGCATATTTTAATAGATCAGTTATTGGCTTTAATAAAGCCTGATCCAGATTATTCATGTTTTTCTTGTTTTTGCATTGTGGATGTACCATAACATCCTAACTGCCATGGATATAATTCACAAACAATGGCAGTGAGGCATGGTTTTAGAAGCTAATAAAGAATTTAAAAGTATGTTAAAGTGATAAAAGTATGCTTGGAATATCTGCTGTTTCAGCATTCTGACTGTTTGAACTAGCCACCTTTCATTTAAATATATGCACATAAAATGTGAGCGCACAGCTATTAGGCTTCAAGTCTATTTTCTGCCACTTACAGTAAGTGACCGGCACCAAAACCATGTAGCAAATACACCCTACGATGATTTTCACTTACGAATCATGACCGATTAAAAAAAACAAAAACAAAACATCAAATCGGTATCGGCCAACACTCAGCGTTAAGGTGCTAAGGTGGCATGCAGCAGGGCCCATCCGTTTGAGCTGCTCAGATCTATGATCTATGCTCAGATTATCTTAGAAAAACGTCCTACCAACACAAGTGTTGTTGTTGAGAGAGGCATTTGGAAAACTCTCTAACAACAGGTCATTATATTGGTCGCATCTCAAGCAGGTCACAGACTTAGGTATATGTCAAATAAAGCTAAATACATAGAAATGCCACAGTATGCAATATTTTTACCTGCACATGTTTAAATTTATATGCATCAATGTTCCTGTAACTTCCATTCCATGCACATCCTATTTATAATGCAACTGTACATACTATTCACTATTCACTTTGTATTATCATATCTGCAGAGTGATACTGCATTTTGTTTATTTGGTATTTATGTTGACATCAACAGCAAAAATATTCCTTGCTGAATAAACTGATTCTGTTATTGTTGAATTTATTTACCCCAGTTCACCCCCCCAGGTACAGACATTCATATCCTGCTGTCAGGACTGAAAATGAAAACACGTTATCGTTTAGTGTGTAAGCAGAAACCATCATATGTCAAGAAAATGAATCCCTCAGTCATAAACTCATGAGCTCATTCTCCTGTAACGTCATATAGTATATTAACTTGACGGTGTGAAAAAAGCCCAGGGAGGCAAGCTTGTCTGTCCTACACCCTAACACATGCCTTATAGCATCACACACAAAGCCGTGAAGGCCTTCACGCACAACAAAGAAGAACATGCACCATCAGGATCCTCCTCCTCCTCCTAACCGCTGTTTTTTTTGGGTCCGCGGGCTACGATAACAGCTCCTGAAAATGTCAGGGACAGTTATGTAAAGACAAAGGAAGGCTTTAATTTTGTGAGCACAGTGAGAAATTCGAAGGAGTAGGCGTTGGAGCCGTTAACCCGTCTGTGGGTGGCGGCGGCTGCTGTTTCAGGCAGTCTTCTGGACGACGGGCCGTCAGGCTCACCCCACGTTTCCCTACAAAGCTCCAATTACTCTGCCAAGGCTAATGGAGTGGCAATGATGTTTGCCAACATCACAAATGCAAACAGAAACATGGTGAATCAGCTTTTGGTGCCATCCAGAGTGAAACCTTTATGCAGTAAAGGGTTTGTGACTTTGTGGCCCAACAGGTCCACTGAGGCTAAAGGCCTTTTGTGAGGGTATAATACAGAAAAATATAGGATTATTTTCCTTAGCTTCACTGCTGGAGCTACAGAGCCACTGTCTCTTACAAGAGATTAAGGCTACAGAACACAGTGCTTCTGCTCACTGGTCACTTTATGAGCTCTGCCCTATAGGTCCACTGCATTGGTATACAATTACTGTAGACTGTAGCACATCTGTTACTGCACAGCTTATCAACAGAGCTACAGCCTCCAACTCTACACTGGCAAGGTGGAGCTATAAGAGAGGGGTTTCTAATAAAGAGGACCTGTTCTAGCCCTTCATCAATGGTCAGACTAGATGAAGGGATTCCTATTCATAGTGTAAGCTTAGGCAGGGAGGAGAGGAAAATGTTTGACTCTATATATACGGCCATATGGTCAGGCCTTTGGGAAAATGGTATCCCAGTATCAGCTGCTACAGGTTAGAACGCTTTAAATATCTCTCAGCAAGATCCACTTTCAGGACAGCGTGTTCAGACAGTGCCTACAGAGAGGGACTAACCTCTGATCAACAGTACTATTCTGAAGCAACACAGATGGAACCAGTTCCAGAACTGAGGAGATGTCAGCTGGTGTGCTGACTGATCTAGACTCGATAAGTCACGTCAGTTTTTCCAGTCTGACTGTGAATCATTCATATACGTGTGTATTTTAATCAAGGACAAGCTTAAGACTGGTGTGCCGATTCTTCCTTTAGACCTATTCATATCTACTGTACAATATTAATATTATTATTATCTATTAATTCTAGCATTTTGTCAGCTGCTAGATTGTTTTTGCTCATTTTTTACATGCTTCTGATTGAGGTGTTTATTTTTTAATTCTTACAAATGGCAATAAACTACTTGATTTAAAACCATAGGCTTAGAACCCACAGTTAGCTACATGCTTTTTTAGCTCATTAGAAGAAATCTGTTCACAGACTGAGGTAACAATGAAGCATTTCTCAGTTAACTAATCATATAGTATACTGCCAAGTACGGGAACATGCCTTAATAATAATAAAGTAGACTACCAAATCTGGGAATACAGCTTAATAATCATATTGTACACTACCAAACATGGGAATATGCCTTAATGATCATATTGTAGAACACCAAATTGAGTACATCTTAGTAATCATATAGTGTACTACTAAATAAGGGCATAAATATTAATGATCATATAGTATACTACTACACATGGATATACATCTCAATAATCATAAAGTATACTACTGATTATGGCAATAAATAGTATTAATCATATTGTAGAATATCAAATACAGTTATACATCTTAATAATCATATATACTATATTACTAAATATGGGTATAAATCTTAATAATCATACAGCATACTACCAAATATGGGTATACATCTTAATAATCATGTAGTATACTACCAAATACAGTTATACATCTTTATAATCATATATACTATACTACCAAATATGGGTATACATCTTAATAATCATGTAGTATACTACCAAATACAGTTATACATCTTTATAATCATATATACTATACTACCAAATATGGGTATACATCTTAATAATCATGTAGCATACTATCAAATATGGGTACACAGCTTAATGATCATATAGTACCTCACCACAAATGGGAAACCGCATATGAGAACATTTTAAGCATATTGTAGGTCACTATAAATGCTATTTAGTAGCTAAACAATGGATTTTATAGGTCGTATTAAAGCGCATCGCCCTCGATCAGCTGAAAAACTCAAAAAACTGTGCATGTATCATAACCACTAAAATAAAGAGCGACTGGAATGCTGAGGTACAAAACTGAGTTTCCGAGCTGTCTCAGCCATATCCGTCTCAGCTTTAGGGAAAAGCAAACTCACTTTGGATCGGAATCTCATTGTAGGGAACTGTCTGGGCTGGCACAGTGGGGGGAAGCTGATGTGAATTGTATTACTGTCAGAAGGCATCGCACTGAAACAGACAGGTAAAGTGAAGGTGATACCTCCTGGCAGGCTGCCAAGTCTGTGTGTGTGTGTTTGTGTATTTGCATGTGTGTGTATATGAGTGTGACACTGCTGTCAGCATCTGTGTGTGTGTGTTCTGCCTACCTGTCACTAGCATGTCAGCACTGAGACTCCCTCAGACTCTGATACACGCTATATAAACTACAGTGTAGAGAGCGGTCAGTTAGCAGGAAGCTGCTTTAGGGAAGATTCAGCCTGATCACTGCAGGTATGTAATGTGGTCTGTGTGGTGTGGTATATATTAGGGGTATAAAAATGTGTTGTGATGCATTGATCTGAGGAGGTGGTTCTCCTGTGTCAATTATAATAGAGTATTATTGATGGGAATTCACTGATGGGAGTTTCAACTATGAAGGTGGTAAAAGAAACCTAAAAATAAGGCCGACTGATAAATTTTTTATGGTTTTAAGCTCCCCAGACAAAAAATAGTCACACCCATAATTTCTTGTTTAAGCGTCCTTGTGCCTTAATAACAGCCCTTAATAACTGTCAGGTCAGGATTTCACCAGTGTCTTATAGCAGTTCTAGTCCATACTAGTTATGTTAATTGTTTGATGGATGAATGGATGGATGGATGGATCAGTGGATACTATGTGAATGAAAGAGAACGATGGATGGACAGCTGAGTGAATGAATGAATGAATGAATGAATGAATGAAGAGATCATGAATAACTCGATGAATGGATGGATGGATCAATGAATGCTAAGTAAATGATGCTAAATGATGGCTGGACAGATGAATGAATGAATGAATGAATGAATGAAAAGCTGGATGAATGGATCAATGGTTAAGTGAATAAAATAAAGTGAATAAAAGTGAATGATGATGGACAGATGAATGAATGAATTAATGAATGAATAGACACTGAATGACTAGATGAATAGATGGATGGATCAATGGATAATGAGTGAATGACAGGGAATGATGGATAGGCAGATGAATGAATGAATGAATGAATGAATGAATGAATGAATGAATGAATGCATAAATTAATGTGTAGACAGATGGATATATGAACGAAGCCCTGCAATGGACGGGCGACCTATCCAGGGTGTATCCTGCTTTCCGGCTAATGACTGCTGGGATAGGCTCCAGCTCTCACTGTGACCCAGAAGGATAAGCAGTTTAGAAGATATGTGTATGTGTGTGTGTGTGTATAGGGATGGATGGATGGATGGATGAATGAATGAATGAATAGATATATGGGTGGATGGATAGACTGATGGATATATAGCTGACTGGATGATGAACGGATGAATAGATCAATGAATGATAATAATTCAGTGATGGTTGGCCGTATGGGTCAATGACCGATGATGGATGAGTGAACAGAAATCAGCCTAAAGCCGTCCTGCTCTCTGCTGGTAAACTCACATCGTGTCTTGAGGGCGAAACTGTGCTGTTTTGTCATTTTGTAATTGTAGCTCAAAGCAAATGGAATGGAATGTCAATTCAGTACGCAAATGTGTGATCAAATATAAACGACAGAAGCATTTATTACTCCTCTGTCATTGACTATAATGGTTCTATTAGGCTATTTATTCTGTATTTGACTTTTGGTTTTCTTACCCGATACTTGGACAGATCGATCCTCAGGGAGTTGTGCAGCTGATCTAGGAGTTTCACAAACTTCTCTCTCTGTGGAAACAAGCAACATTCAACGTGTAGATTAGTACCAACCCTGCTAAGAATAATACTTACTTTCAGTATTAGTACTTACAGAATTTAGTACTTAAAGAACAGTAGGATTGCATATAGTATTTACGTATAATATGATATCCATCCATCCATCAATACTCAACATCAGTCTTCCATCCCTTCATCCTCCATTATCCATCCATCAGTATTCCATCATGAATGATCTATTGTCTATCCATCATCCATCCTTTCTTTTTCCCATCCATCCATCCATCCATCCATCCATCCAGCTATCCATCATGCATTCATTTTTAAATGACAGATCATAGATCTATCTATCTATCTATCTATCTATCTATCTATCTATCTATCTATCCATCCATCCATCCATCCATCCATCCATCCATCCATCCATCCACCAATTAACCAATCCAGTCATCCAGTCACCTATTCATCTATCCATTCATCCACCCATCTATACGTGTCCATCCATTATTCGTTATCTATTCATCCATCTGTTTAACTATTCATTATCCACCCATCCGTCCATCCATAATTTAAGACAACTATCAATCTTCCATCCACACATTCTCTAGTATCTATCCATCAGTAATTCATTAATTATTAATAATCAATACTCTAATCCTCCATCCACATAGCCATTCATGAATCCTTCTCACTCCCCTTCACTCCATCCATCTTTCCATCCATTCATCCATCAATAAACTCAATCATCAGTCTTCTACCCACTCTCCATTATCCATCCATCAGTATTCCATCATGAATTATCTATTATCTATCCATCATCCATCCATTAATTTTCCCAAATGTCCATCCATCCATCCATCCATCCATCCAGCCATTCCACAGAAGATGATGAACTGACCCCAAAGTTTGAAGCAGCGAATCTGTCTGAAGCGGAGATGTTGGTGGTGGCGGTGGTGGTGTGGGCGAAGTAGGCGTTGATGTTGGCCAGCAGGTTACTCATTACAGCCGGGACACCAGGACACATGTACTTAGATGAAAGGCAGGAGAAATGACTGGAAGAGAGGGAGAGAGAAAAGCATAGAGCTGATTAAAACTCCCAGCTTAGATACAGGCTCAACCTCTCTCTCACGCTGTACTCATCTCCCAGGGGTGACTAAAAATGCTGAAAATGAGAAAGTAATTATTATGACTACAAACTGTTACTGCTGATATTGCTGCTAAAACAACCCTCCTGTCTCCATTCTGACAGTTTGAATTTTTCACATAAATTAAAAACCAACAGTTCTCTTTATATCCTCCACGAATTTTTACTCTGGGAGCTAAAAAACAGCTATAAACACTGTGAAACACTGTATGCGAATTAAACCAAAGAGCGGAAACCCAGGCATATTTTTCTGAAAATGTGTTGGCTTGGATCTTTTATTTTCAGCAGCAGTCCTGATATCTGTACTGCACACACAAAACTTAGTTTTAATGCACGCATGTACAGAAGCGCCTAGAAACCGCACAAGACTGGAGCATCTTCCGATTACTGTACAACATCAAAAACATTTATGTCACACGAAACATTGAAGAAGTTCTAAATGACAACTAAAACTCCTTACATTCCCAAACTCATCATATCATAAAGCTTATTAGTCAGAAACAATAAAACACTACAAATAAACTACAGTTCTTTCATTACAGAACTGTAATTACTCTCCTTACAGTATTTGTAAGATTCTTTTTTTTAGAGATTAATTAAACTATATTGTTCTTCATTTCTAACTAGCTTAACTATTTTAATCTTCAGTAAGTGTTGTAAAGTTACATACAAAAACCACTCTTTGCAACTTCCAGCCTGAAAAAGCTATTATGTTGTTGGCTCCATAATCTTAAATAGCTACTGCGTTCTTTCACTGTTTTCTTATTGTCATTTTAGAATAACAAACATGTGAGCTCGATGAAATCTAAAACCTCTGTTGATCTTCTACTGCGAGTGTTAGCTAGCTAATTTAGCCAAGGTAAGCTAATGTCTGACATAATCACATGTATTGTCACATAACATAAACACAGGTGTGAAGGCGAGTGAACATCTTAACATCTTGTTTTTTGAAAAATATTTGCCCATTTTGAATTTAATGCCAGCAACACATTACAAAAAAGTTGGGACGGAGCAACAAAAGGCTGGTGAAATGAAAAATACGACAAAGGAGATCCTGAACTGATGAGCAGCTGAAATTTCTTTAATAAGGCAAATATCAACAATGACTAACTGGAGCAGGTTTACAATAAACAACGTATTGCTCTTACTTTCATTTGTGTTCGGGCTGATTATCTCGATAGAAGCAGTATTTTTACCCAAGCAGGAATTTTCAGTACTTTTTCCAACCCTGTGAAGCTGCTGTTTAAAACTTTGAAGCACGGCTCCAAAGGAATGCGTCTTACAGCACCTGCCCACCAGCATCTAAGTACATTTTCAGTCAACAGGCTTTCTATTCTTTAACTAAGTAGAAGACAAATGACCATAATGCTGACTGTATTTTAGAGCTTATTTATTATATGTGGACGTGGACGGCCAAAACGGGGACCCAGAAAGACTCAGAGCTTCAGGGCTAAAACATGAAGGACCATGAGAGAATACTGGTAAGTAGAGAAGACTCATTACAGAGAGAGAGAGGGGGAGAGAGAGAGAAAAGGGAAAGAGAAGAGGGACAGAGAGAGATAGAAAAAAAGGGAAAGAGACAGGGAAGAGGGAGACAGAGAGAGAGAGGGAAAGAGAGAGAGAGTTGGAGAGAGAGAGAGAGAGAGAGAGAGAGAGAGGGAGAGAGAGAGAGAGAGAGAGAGAGAGATAGAGGGAGAAAAAGACGATAGAGCTGCATGAATAAGGAGGAAGTCGGCTGTCTTCAAACACAGCAGGTCACTAAAATTAGCACCAAGCCTGCAGGGCTTTTACGGAAAATTACATCTCTCTCTCTCTCTCTCTCTCTCTCTCTCTCTCTCTCTCTCTCTCTCTCTCTCACACATACACACACACTACTGTCTTAAAAGCATCCCAGTGTGTTCAAACAGCTCACGGCTTAAATGAAGAGAATGAAAAGTAGGGCGTTAAAATATAAGTGCTATGATATCAGCACAAATCATATTAACCCTTTAAGTTAAAAAAGTGATAATAAAAACATGTAAATTTACATGAACTATTACTGACTCATAGTTCACTGAATACTGGAGGAATCACGTGGAAACTCAGACCACATTTGTGTTTGTAAGCAAAACAGGAGACATGTTGTTATGATTTGAATATGATTATTATTATTGTTGCTTGTATAGTCTTAATTTGCATAACAAAAAATCTTCTTTCGTCATGTTTCTGTCACTTTTTGACGCTGAACAGTAAGTGGGCCAACTCAAACCTGTTCATACAGAAGGTAAATCAGACTGTAAACTAAATGTGAATGTAAATCACTGAATGTGATTGTACAATGTGATGAAACGATACTAGTGATCCTGGCCTTAATATTAAAGTCAACCAGTATGGACCACTTTAACCTCATTAGCTCAAGCCTCCTGAAACTATTAAAACTATAAAGCACAAATCATCATATCATGATAATGAAAGAGCCATAATCCCACATCTTTTCCTCTGTTTGACCTTTTCCCTTTCACTGTATGATGTGTGTAGATTTGTGTGCCAAAAACATTATTTTGACTATTAACTATTTACATCTTTCACCCCTTAGAATTAGACAGACTGTTCTGTTACTGTGCCATTAAAACTGATATATGTCAATGAGCTCTTTCTGATTGGCTGTCCTGTAATGTCCCTCATTCAAGTAGCAGTACAAGCTGAAACACCCTTTATTACTTCAGTGTGAGTGGGTGGGGCTAAACTGATAAACAATACTTGAGCTGTTTTTTGTGACATCACAAAAACAGTGGATTCAAAAGGAGATGGTTTTGCAGTTTAGCATCTTTATATGGAGTCTAATGTTCGAACAGTGTTGCAGTCAAAACCACTAGAACTGAGCCAGAATCAAGATCTAGACCGGGACACATCGAGCCCGAGTCGAAACTAAGACTTTCAGTAGCCGAGTCCGAGTCAACAGACTGAGACTAGACAAACATAAACAGCAGTGCTTTTCTGTGGGCTGCCACCCCCCAGTGGGCTGTGGTGGTACTTTTTCTTCACATATACTTTAATAACAAAAATTTGTTACGATACAAACATTAAACCAAACATAATTAGGAACATGACAAGTGTTAATTTTTAATGCAAAAATAAAACATTTATATCGAGCTCCTTGATTGTTCTGACAGCATAAACTAAAACAAAGGAAACACAGCAGTGAATATGTAGCGCTGAGCTTCACCTGCGTGAGAACTGAAAGCGAGCGACTGCAGCTCTGTGCTGTTTGTTCAGGCCTCTTTTCAAATGAAGCTTTAAAACCCAGCAGTTTCCACCGTCACTCAGACACTCAACACAGTGAATCTGTATCTAAACCTGGCGATTTGATCCTGAACTCCTCAGCTTTCCTCTCTAGAGCCTGACATTCAGCACTCTGTAGCAGCCAAATTCTCATCAAAAATGATCTGATCACTTAAATCCGCAAAAGCTTTTGTGGTCTTTGTGTCGGCCGCAAGTTGCAAAAGTTTGTGAACCCTTGATACAGAGAAAGGACTGTTGTATTCTGGTTTTGCTGATATTTATTAATAACTGAGCTTCCAGCTGAGACATCACAGGGTTGGTCTCCCCACCGAGACCGAGACCAGTCTGAGTCCGAATGAGGTTGAGACCAACACAAGCCTGAGGCTCATTTATGGTCTCAAGACTGGACTTAAGTACTACAACACTATTACATAACACGTCAAACTATTAAAAAAAAAGCAAGGAAAACAAACCTTTCTACAGAGTCCTGCTGGTGACATTCCGTATGAATAAAAATAAAGCATGGCCACGACTTAGTAAGGCATGGGAACGAGATAAATAAGACGTGGCCATGACTTAGTAAGGTGTGAGAATGAGATGATTAAGCCTTGACCACAGCTTAATAAGGCATGAATTCATTCCCACGCCTTACTAAGTTGTGGCCATGACTTAATTATCTCGTTCCATGCTTTACTAAGTCGTGGCCAGGCATTATTTTTGTTGATACGGTCACCAGCAGGGCTCCGTATCTTCCCTTCATATAAGCCCTTAAAAGTTTTGTATGTTTTCTGCCACTTTAACCAATAACATCACATTTGACCTCCCCCCCCCCACCGTCCCCATCTAATATGGAGAGAAATCGCTCAGCTGGCTCAGAGACCCTTCCTGATACACAGCATCTGAAGCAGCCCTGAGAAAAGGCCTTATCTGAGACACGTATAGCACTTGAGCTGAGTGACTTTGTCTGAAAACAATACAGAAAACAGAGAAGGTATAGGAATATCGATCATACTTAAATAACAAGAGAGTACACTGTGCGCTCACTGGTGTACTGGTAGTGGTGCAACACTCTGAAGTCTCTGCTGAGTTGAGATTACTGTGGGAACGATCCATACAGTGAACTAAACAAACTGACAAGCAAATTCTGCAGCTTTCCCTCACACACACAAACTCATGAGCGCGAATAAGTAGCAGCAAACACAAAAACACTCGCTCAAGGAGCTTAAAGCAAACCGGGTACAAAGACATCCACAAATTCAGAGAACAAAAGAACAGCTCAGACAGAGAAGCGCACACGGGCAGGAAGAAGACAGTTCACACAGCACGGCTGACAGATAACAGCAGGAGCTGCTGGAGGAAAAGGGTGCGCTTTATTACAGAGGCAATATTTGGTCAAATATATGGATATCCAGACTCCTCTGAGTATTCATCATGTGATCGGGTATTCAGAAAGGGCTTGTGTAGTTTTGGATGAAAAAATTAAATATTTGGTGCATTAGTTTGAATTTTTTACTGAGCCTGAGAAAATGTAGAAGCAGCTGATACAGCATCTCATCCTTTGCCTGAAACATTCATAAAATAGATGACAATTATTTGCCACTCAAAACCTGCAGTAAACAATTTCAGCGTCTTCTTGGTTCTTTGTGT